GCCGTCTCATGTGCGTTGTTGCATTCGCAGCATGGCCGCAGGCTTCGTCCCTTTCACTGCGCTGAGCTTCAGCAACGGCAAACACACCGCCGGCCACCTCAGCAAGGCTGGGTACACAAAGCGAGCCGGCTGCCGCCTCAGATCCAGTCATTTCTTGCCATTTATAGGGCGGCGGTGTCGTTCCCTGAAAAGGATCAACGGCCTTCCCTTCCCCACTACTTCCATCAACGGCTGCAGCTACAATCCTACAGCACATAATCAGAACGAGAAGAAGCACCGCGGAAGCAAACACACGCCGGGACATGTTGGGCCTCTGCCGCTCACTCTCTCTTCCTTCCCTCCTCCTTCCGCTGGATCCGGTCACGCGGCGACGGTTGTGTGTGCGGGGTGCCTTCACTGCAGCAACACGTGAGAGCATATAAATATGTGTGTGTGGGCGGTGTGTGTGCTGTTGATCCTTTCAGTGCCTTCCAATTTCACAGTAGCGATTATAGTCTATTTTCCTTCTACGTGTGTGATTGAGAGAGAAATAAAGGAAAAACATACCAAGAAAAGAGGCAAAAGAGTAAACACAGCCACCCATCCACAGAGAGTGACATTATCATCCCCGCCGCAGCCACTCCCAACAACAACAACGCACGCACACAGACGCACGGAACAGGAGACGGAGAAACAGTGCACCGGGAACACACAGCGACTGTTGCCACCAGCAGCAGGAGTCACGGCGGGTGCGTCGTTATTCGTCACGCACCAGCACACACCGAGAAACACCACACCCGGCAAATCAACCAGAGGAATGCAAAAGGACACAACCGTCCTTTGCAAAGCCCACGCGCTGTCGCCAGTCATTTTACTGTTCATCCTTCCAGCGCACCCTCCAACGCACATCACCCACACAAGCAAAGAATCCCTGACCAAAGTATACACAGCATAGGAAATACACATTGGCGCGTACAGCAGCTGGACGAGAAGCAATCCGCACTTGTACCAGGCACCTTAACCCAGACCGCCCAATCGACTGCACGCCTGCAACGTGTCAAAATAAATCGCAGGCTCCCGTACTCCCTCCTCGCCAGGGCCGCCGCATCCAGAATCTTGCGTGTGCGCTCTCAGCAATCACGCCGCTCTACAGGGTATGCATAATGGCGTGTGTGCATGCGTGTTTGTCAGTGAATATACTTCCAGAGCAGCTGTGCGACACAACTGTTCAAAGAAAGCAATGGAATGAAGAGAGGCAGATAGCACACACGCAAATTACTCATATCATCACACACACACACACACACACACACACGCAGCCCCCGGAATGGGTGCACTCAAACACAACACAAGTAAAACAAAACAAAAAGCCGAAGCGTGGGACGACCAGCGCACACACTCTCATTGCTCCCGTAAAGCGAAACACACACACAGGGAGAAAGAGAGAGAGGTCGCCCACTCAATGCAATAAAAACAGAACAGAAACAGTTACGGTGCTCCGCCCATGCAGCCAGGCAGAACGGCAGCGGTGCGTGTCGTGCAAAAGAGAGCACCAACGGGCCTGCATGGGTGTGCATGCATATATACAATGGGCACATTATGTGTGTGCTTCGTGGGGTGAGGTGAGGGCGAGAGTCCATGCAAGGGGACACACACAGAGAGAGAGAGAAGGACGAGTGTGTGTGCGGGCGGTGCACGGCTCTCTCACTCACCCTCACGCGGCCACCACCGCAGCAGCCGCACACGCAACAAGAAGAAGAAGCAAAAGAGGGAAGGTGGTGTGGGAGACCGCGGTGCTGCTGTCACTGTCGCCTGTACGTGCTGTGTCATTTGTTATAGCTGTGGCTTCGACTGATGTTTCCTTCCTGTTGCCATGTTTATTTTCACCTCGTTTTGCACCTTCTGTTACTGCACCGTTAGCTGTAGGGTTATTCTTCGGCAATCCTATTTGAGTGCCCCTTTCTGCGTCAATATTAGAGGCATCACCAACAGCTAAGTGCCGTGGTTGTGTTGATTCAGAATCACCGTCAGATTCTCCATTCTGTTCGGTTGGTGCGACGGAAACATTTTCCTTTTTTTGTGAATCATTGTTTGGCTCCACGCCGTCATTGACTCCTTGAGACGTTTGCTCGGACACGTCATCTTCAGAGCTCAGCTTTTCTTTTTCTGGTTCTGTTCTTGGGTTTTCCACTGGTTTTTCATTTGTTTTCAGTGTCGCTGCTGGTGCTCCTTGCAGTGAAGCTGGTGGTGCTGCTCCATGTCCCTGTGTTGATGCTGCCGGCAATAAAGGCGCTGGCGGTGATTGTTCGCCAGTTCCTTGTCGTTCCCCTTCTGATGGCGTTGTTGCTGATGAGTGACTTCCCACTTTCGCTGAACCATTGCCTGCCTGTCTTGCTTGTCCTTCGCTACCTTGTCCATCCGGCTGCGCTTTTCGTTCTTCAAGTAATTCTCCACTTTCTTCTCCTCCTGCTCCTCCCCCTATTTGTCCTTTCTCTGCTTCTCCTTTGTCGTCCACTGATTTGTCGGCCGTTGGTGTTTCTATTTTCGGATCCTTCCTCTGATTATCAACCGCCTCATTTTTTGAATCCAACGGTTCCTCTGCGTTTTGGAGCCCTTGACTGACTTGGCCTGAAGATTCCTGTTGTCCGGTATTTCTGCCTGCGGGTCCAGGCGGTGGCCCCTTTGCTGGAACGTGAAATACATCGGTAGTTTCAGAATCATCGGCCTTTGACACTTCCACCGCACATACGCCGCACCACAGCACGCAGAGGGCACACACCAGCAGCACACGGCCAGTCATCATCATCGCCATCACTCCTGTCACTTGCGTGCAGCCTTCAGCACAAACTAACAACACGTCAACGCAGAGTGGAAGCAAAAGGAGAGACACGTCACACAGCCACGCAACAGCCACCGCACAGTAACAAATGGCAGCAGCGCTGCAGAAGCGAGCACAAAACACGAGACAGTTGAAATCAGTACGATTGCAGAACTCGCGCACCACCGCGTAAAGAGAAGTTTAAAAGCAATAAAAAAACAATAATTAAAGAAAGAAAAGAAAAAAACTAACCAGAGCTCCAGTGCGCATGCATATGAGTGTGTCCGCGATGCGTCCAACGTGAGGGATACAGGAAGCAGCGCGGAGCACACAGCACGGCAGCGGAAGCAAGCAAAGCAAAAAAACAATCATCATAATTACTCTTACTTTATACATCGGATCAGATTAGACGTACACATGTCCCCGTGGCTTTGAGTGCTGGCACGCACAGCCCACACACACCTCTTCAGCCCACAGCGGTGTACGCCAGCGCGCATGCGGCGAGCAGCAGCGGGGAACACACCCACGCAGAGCTGCTGAGGCTGCCATCGATTTCGCGGAGACGTGGCTGTTTGAGCTTCGTCTTATTATCTGGGGCTTCAGTAGTCGTAATAATTGGCGCCTCTGTAGTCGTAGTGGGTGCCTTTGTCGTAGTGGTCGTAGTGGTTGGTGCCTTTGTCGTAGTAGTCGTAGTGGGTGCCTTTGTCGTAGTGGTCGTAGTGGTTGGCGCCTTTGTCGTAGTGGTCGTAGTGGTTGTATTTGGTGTCTGCAACTCAACGCTGTCCTCTTTACCCTTTGGGGGGGCAGACTCCTCATTTTGTAAACCTTCCTCACCGGTCCTCTCATTTTCCGGTCCCGCATGAGTGTCCGTACCTAAATCCTGACTCAGATCGGCATCGTCTTCCTCTTCGGAGTGAGAGGACAACGAAATCGAGCTGGCAGATTCGTCTTCAACAGTATCAGCCGCGCATACGAACGGGCGGCAGCACAGGGCGAGCACCAACAGGGCGCACAGCAGACGGCACGTCGTCATCGTGAGTGTGGTCGTTCAGTGGTGTGGAGCTGATCTGCACAGTGAGGGACATGGAGAGCAACAGGGGAGACGAGAGGTGCGGCATACACACACACAGAGGGCACACCACATGAGGAGAGGGCAGCAGCCAGGCATGCACCGTACGCCGCACACCACGCACGACACACACTCCAATCCACGGCAGCAGGCACACACACACACACAAAGCCCTGCCGCAACACCAACACACAGATGGAAGAAGGAGAAGCAAACAGGAGCGGCACACAAGGCTCCACCGCATGTACATACGGCGAGAGCGGTCCGTCGTGACGGCACCCCTCACGGAGGGTACGCACACACACAAGAGGAGGTGCAGCGCACACAGCAACACAAAAGCAAAGTAACAATAAAAAAGGAAGATCCCCGCACACCACGTGGATTGTTGGTCCACAGGAAGTGCAGCCAATATTCATCACAAAAAAAGTTCAGTTACCTTTGGCCCTCGTTCATATCCGACGCACACCACTTCATGCAAGCACGGCCATCGCAGCAGCAGCAGCAGCAGCACAACCAAAAAAATATGGGCGCAAGGAATGGAATAAAGCAAGCAACCATTTATTTGTGTTTCTGTTTAATGTTGGCCGATGTCCGCATATGTTCTTTTTTTTTGCTTTGCGGAGGGCAAACCTTCATGCCTGGGTCGTGTGTTGGGGATTCCTGCAGGGTGCACAATTTTTCTTTCCCCTTGTGAATGTTGCTTGTGTTGGTGCAGCCAACAATTCGGTTTCTGTTGTTCCTGCCTTTCGCTGGTAAGGTGTTGCAATAGATGTTTGTTTCCCTCTTTTCGTTGCTGTGGCACCTGATTCCTCACCGTTTATTGTGGTGGAAATGAAAATATGTGAGTGGACTCCCACACACCAGAGCGCACCTTCGCTCCTATTTATTGGTGCATGGAAGGGCATGTGTGTTTGGTGGTGTCTCGTCCATATATTTTGTGGGCGTACATTCCCCTGCAGGCTGAGGGCGGGATGACGCTCCGTCGCGGTGCACTTCCCTCGCATGCCGCCCACTGTGATTCATCATGCATCGCCTCCTCTCACATATTCCGTGGTGCAACACCGCTGATATTATTGCAGCCGCTGTGATTCCGCGTATTTCACGCATTTCATTGTGCCACAATACATCCGCTCGTGTGGCCGCCGCATCCAAACAGCGGTGCCCAACACCGTGAGCGGCAATCCACATCCTTGCATGTCCCAACGCAGTGGTGTTGGACTGTCAGCCAGGCACCAGACAACAGGAGAGTATTGTGCTGGCAGTACAACACACGGAGCTGCAGTGAACGACTCGGGCGGGGACGCATCTATTTGTCGCAAAGCAGTGAAAAGGAGTCGAGCAAAATAATGCCGGCTGCATTCACAACACCACACCCACAGCCAAAGCATGCGACGTGATGTGTGTTTCACTGGTGCTGTGAAATGCCTGCGGACGACGTCACTAGTGGAGGCACACCACCCATGATCAGCGGACAGACAATAATCGGCATGGGAGGCCACAAGAGGCAGCAACGACGCCAGCAGCAGGAGCAGCTCTCTCTCTCTCTCTGTTGCCTCCGAGAAGTAAATATTCCACCAGCCGCAGCTGACTGTGCCATCGTGACACTCCATGCACGTCGTGGCTGCGTCAACACATCCTGTTCCCTGCAGCGCCTCAAAAGATGCCTCACTCCGTCCACTAAGTGCATCGGTGTGGGCCGTGCCTCGGTTGTTCGTGAGGACCACAGCGATGTGAGGGTCACCGAGTCGCAGCACGTTTGCTGTGGCGTTGTTGCATGGCACCTGCACACACACACACACGCAGCGCCTGCATCCCTCCCTTTTGTGTCCGCCCTCTGCCGGAGTGGCCACACACACGGGCAGCAGCAAAATCATTTCACCCTCGACGATCCAAAATCAACACCGACATCCCTCGCGACGCAAACATCTCAGTTGCCAGCACGGGCTTCCTGCTGCTCTGCCATCGATGCTGAAACACGGCACAGTGCACGCACTTATTTTCCTCGTGTGCAGTCAGCCGTTTGTTTCACACATTCTTCGACGGGTTGACGCCCACAAAAGCACGCCAAAAAGGCCACTGTGATCGCACAAGCTCTTGCAATGGGCGTCGGTGTGTGCATGGATCCGCTGCTCACACGTGCTGGCAGGCAGCCTGCAGCCGGTGCCCTCGTGCCAGTCCATCGGCTCCAGCACGGAAAAGAGAAAATGGCCTATTCCCGATGCACCTATTCCCACCAGCAGCACCAACACGCTGGTCGCAAGCCGTCATTCCTCAGCACATCCAGGAGTGCTGAAAAGTAACGTGGAACCGTCAGCCAGCAACGCCACAATCCCCGCACACATGTCGGCTCCACCAGAGAAGACACACAAACTACAATAACAACACCATCCACATGTCATCCGAACATCATTCCGACACACCGCGACACGCCAAACAGAAGTATTCGTCACTCCAATGCACCTCCCCACACAATCACATAGTCCACGCACCACGCACTGCAGCGGCTCACACCCGTCTAAACAAATGTTCTTCGGATCAGTGTTATCCACGTGCTGCAATGGGAAGTAAACAAAAGAGACGGGCCGCCAAACCCCAAAAGATTGCCACGACTGGCCGCAATTCAACGGAACGCAGCCACTCAAAGGAATTCAGTCCTCATGCCCTCAACCTCCCTCCTTCCTCCACAAAAGACCCATAAAATTAACATCAAATGCACTGTTAAATAAAGCTGCCGTGCAACACAAAACAAAGCCGCAGTGCCTCCTGCTGCCATCCGGGCCGTTGTTGTCGCCTTCACGGGAACAGACGCCCATTGGCTATTTAAAACGACGCTGCACACCTGCAACGCATCTCCTGCGCTTTGAGGCGCACGTGCCTCACCACCACCAGAGACGCCCACGCACCGTCGGTATGCACCACATTGTGAAGAAAAAAGAATACACCAGAGTGACAACGAGGCACCCGCTGGCAATCGCGTCGCAGGCATCATCACAGGCAGCACCAAAACCGCTGCAGTCAAGTGTGGGGTGACGTGCAACAAATGCCGCATGGCTTATTTAGAAGAAAAAACGCGGTGGCTTTACAAGAATACGAGTAGCTGCCACTTCCTCAGCAGGATAAACGATGTGAAAACAAAAAGAAATATTCAGTCATATGCAGTCAAAGCATGCCGCAAATCAAAAAAGCAGAATCGGTGCACTCAACCACAACACAAGTAAAACAATGAAAAGAACAAAAGAAAAAGCCGAAGCGTGGGACGACCAGCGCACACACTCTCATTGCTCCCGTAAAGCAAAACACACACACAGGGGGAGAGAGAGAGAGGTCGCCCACTCAATGCAATAAAAACAAAACAGAAACAGTTACGGTGCTCCGCCCATGCAGCCAGGCAGAACGGCAGCGGTGCGTGTCGTGCAAAAGAGAGCACCAACGGGCCTGCATGGGTGTGCATGCATATATACAATGGGCACATTATGTGTGTGCTTCGTGGGATGAGGTGAGGGCGAGAGTCCATGCAAGGGGACACACACAGAGAGTGAGTGAAAGACGAGTGTGTGTGCGGGCGGTGCACGGCTCTCTCTCACTCACTCTCACGCGGCCACCACCGCAGCCGCAGCCGCACACGCAACAGGAAGAAGAAGCAAAAGAGGGAAGGTGGTGTGGGAGACCGCGGTGCTGCCGTCACTGTCGCCATGAGTCGCAGTATCATTTGTTATAGCTGCGGTTTCAAGAGTTGCTGTTTTATTTGTATTTTCTTCTTTATTTTCACCTTGTTGTGCTTCTTTCGTCGCTTCACCATCAGGTGCTTGATCGTGTTTTTGAATGCCTTCTTCATTTCCTTCGTCAGCGTCATTTGTAATGGCACCTTTGGAAGCTGAGGGTGATGTTGGAGTTGATTCGGCGTTAACTTCTGTTGGTCCGTCTGTTTTGGTGACTGTGGTGGGGATGGTTCCTTCTTTTCGTGAGGCACTTCTTAACTCCATGTCGTGTTGAGATGCTTCTACATGTTGCACTGAAGGGTCATCTGCAGAGGAGGGGTTTTCATCTTTTGTTTGTGTTGTTGTTGCTTCTGCCGCTGCTGCAGGTGCTGCAGGTGCTTTTAGTGTTGGTAATTTGAGTCCTTCTTCCTGGGCGGAGCCATCATCAGAGCGGGGCTGGCCTTTCGCTGGTGTTGCATTTAAAGTTCCTGCTGGGTTTCCATTCAGTGTCGTTGTTAATGGTTCTGATGGTAGTAGTACTCCTTCTTGCGGCAATGTTAATTGGGATGTTTCTTTGCCTTCAATTGGACCTTTGAGTTCCTCAATTTCTTCGGTTTCCCCTTCTGCATCAACACTTTCCCCTTCTTCTTCTTCTTCTTCTTCTTCTTCTTCTTCTTCTTCTTCTTCTTCCCCTCTCACTGTGCTTGCTGGTGATGCTATGATCACAACATTATCCTGGTTGATGCCATTTCCCGTTTGTGCACCCAAAGACTGATTACCGTTTTCGGAACCTTCCCTGACTGAATCCTGCGTTACATGTTGTTCAGCACTAACAATACCAGAAATAAGCTCTGAACTGTCAAATGATTCATCTTTTTTCATTTCGGTACCTTTATCGACATTGGCCTCCGCCATCACCATTACAGCACCGCACCACAGCACGCAGAGGGCACACACCAGCAGCACACGGCCAGTCATCATCATCGCCATCACTCCTGTCACTTGCGTGTAGCCTTCAGCACAAACTAACAACACGTCAACGCAGAGTGAAAGCAAAAGGGGAGAGAGAAGAGACACAAGTCACTGAACCATGCACCGTCCCATCCAGCAATGAGATTCACGCACCAAAACAACAACAATGAAAGGAGTGCTGATCGATTGCCCCCTTCCTCACACCCTCACAGTCACTATTACCGTCAGCGTTACTACTCCCTCTTTAGAAAAACTCACCGGCATGCCGCGCTCACCCGCAGCACGCGTAGCCCG